AGAAAAGGGAAAATTTCCCATTTTCAAGCTTTAGCATGGTTTCGAAATCAAGCCATATCTAACTCTATACAACTCTAAATTGAGAATGGTTTATGGAGTTGGAAACTAGGTTCAAAATTCTACAATTCATCAGAAGACATCATTTTGAAAATCTTTTCACAAGTGGGACAAAATCGAGCCACAAGATGCAGCTTCCCAGTTTCATTTGAATAGACAATCAAAACAGAACAGCCGACTTTGTCGATTTGCTACGGATCACTCAAAATGAACTAGCAGGGGATTTTTATATCGTTGGAAAGTTATGAATGTCTAGTTTTGAATGCCACTAATGGCACTCAATTTTGACTTTTACACCAAAAGTTATGTTCATACAAAGGACCACTGTCCGAGTACCTTGCTATACATTTTCCAGATTTGAATCTTTATCAAAACTCAAGTTTTGTGCAACCATTCGACACAATTTTTGAAAGGCACTTTGTACACACAATATATAACATATATCCATCAATTTCACAGCCAACCAAACATCAAAATTTTGAAATAAAAACAGAACAACATGGACAGAATTTTCGGCCAGCTTTCCTTCGATTTCTCTCCACTTTCTAACCATAATCAAGATATATATCACATAAACAACCATAATCAAACAATCAAGCCTCAAGTCAACTACCTAGAGGTCTCATCAAGTCAGCTAGCCTATGATTTAAAGTGAGATAGATGGTTCCTCAAGTCCTCTAGCCTATTTTCTTGCTTAGGGTTGCAAACCCATGAAACTAAACTTCAATCTTGAAGAAATTGGAAAGATTAAAGGAGATGAAGGTTTACCTCTTTAAACCCTAGATGAGATCAGATTTTCCACCAAGATTCTCCAAGAAACTCTGCAAGATTGCTAAAGTTGGATGATGAATTGCAAGCAAAATGAAAGCTAGAAGTGAGGAGTTTTCTTTCCCTTCTTCCCCCTTGAGGTTCGGCCGACTATGGAGAGAGAGAGAGAGAGAAGGGTTTTGTGTGATGAAACTTGTGAGGAAAGAATGAAAGAAAGTAGTTTTATGTTAGGTGCAAAAGGTCAACTTTGAATAGTTGTCAAAATAGTGTCATGCACTACCATTTCCTCTCTTGTTTGGTACACTTATGCACTAATACTCCAAGGTAATTCTCTAACACTGTAATTACTCACACTTACAAGTCTAATATTAATTTCTCAAATCTCTAATTAGTCGCGCGGTGTGACTTTCGAGAAATTTGCGACACACGCGCGTAAAGCGAAATTTAAGGACAATTCATGCAACTAAAATATAATTAACTAACTCTAAGGCAAATAATTAAAAAATGACTAAATTAAAAAATAAAACATGAATTCTCACATTTAGAATCTATTAAAGCTGAACAAGTATACTCACTTTCATAGAGGTGTGCCTCTTTTAATCTATTCTCCAGTCCAGCTTGAAACTCCTTCAATTTGTCGATAGAAACAGCCCCACCACCCCCATGATCCATTGATTTGCGTCTCCTATGTCCCTTCATTACACGGCATCTAGAGGGGGAGGGCAGTACAGAGCAAGCCTGTAGTTTGTCAACTTGTAAACCTTCATCTTCTGCTTGTTCTACAAATGTATTTGACATGACTATCTTTCTAGCTTCTGGCTCCACCCTCCGTTGCTGCTGTTTTGTGTCCCCAATATCAGTTTCAGAGCACTCTTCGTGTATTCTATTTCTACATGCACTATATCCAGAGTCGAGCATTAGCCATGTTTCCTGCATATTCTCATATTGATCAACCCCCTCCAGTATCGCAAAGTGATTATATAGCAAGATTCCAGCCTTGCGAGCTTTTGGTCCTACTTCACACTGTAGTTGCTCCTCATTACTGACACCAGAGCCCACCATTTCTTGTTGCACCTCTGTCTCAATATCTCTTCGCCCTAGCTACTGTTTCTCCAACACTTCTCCCATTCCTCAATGTCCAGCAATTTCCACTGATCTCGATAGCCCGCCACAGGCTCGCTATGGGGAGATTGCTGAACTTCTTCTTGATGGCCGTAATGGGTTATAGGTTTATTTTGCTTATCCTGACTTGCACCTTCCTCAGTGACCTCACAATCTTGCACTTTGCCTTTAACCATCTGTTGCTTTGGTATGTACATTAGCAGATTTCTCCCCTTGCTAAGTGATGTTGGCTTTGTGTGTTGCTTCGATTCAGATTTTGGCCGCTAGGATTTTTCTTGAAACAATCTTGCTCTGAATGTCCTACTCGTTCGAAATACCTATAGAAGCTAGGCCATTCTTCATATTCTATCTACTGCCAGTAGTCCGAACAGTCATCACCAATCCAAATCCGTCTCACAGGCTGATGCGCGACATCGACCTCTACCAAAACTCATGCGAGAGAATGACACTTTCCTCCACTGGTTGCCAAATCAACCTTCAGAGGTTTGCCCAACAGTGTGGCCAATTTCTTAACATAACTAGCGTCATAAAAGTGCAGCGACAATTGTGGAAATAAACCCAAATAGGTACAATAGATACATCATGGCAAGGTTTGAAATCTATAGTCCATTTAGAAATCACCATTGGCGAACTATGGATGTGCCAAGTGCGGTGGACAAACCATCTTGTGTAGTCTTCTTCTTGGGTTGGACGAATGAAAACATGATTATCATCAAAGAGACCAATAGAAATTTGTCCCTTAAACCCTACTATAACAAAAAATTTATGTATCACATCCATTGGAGAGTGGCTGAACGAGAATCTCCCCACTAACATATTCCAATGCGGCTCAGCCAATCACTCAATCTCTCGCTTAGAGATCCTCAAAACTGGCTCACCCCTGTATAGAGAGAGTTTGCCAAATTTTGGTAGCACGGTCACCCCTTAACGAGACGAGAAGGATGCCACGGCCTCTACAAAAGAATTTGCAGCCTACTGAATCCCTTGTGGGGGCTGGTCTGACGGCCCTAGAGCTGCCATTCTAGCCACCAATGTCGAGTTATAAGGAAAGGGAAGACCTTAGAAGCCCTAAACCCAAGTTCCAAAGAAGAAGCCGTCTTCAGACTTTTCCACTCTTATGGAATAGAGGTTAAAAATGGTTTTGACTTTTATAACATGACAAACATTTTGAAATATTGCAAATTGGAAAGTATAACAAATATTTTGAAACACTCAAGAACATGTGTTTACGTGCTCTTCAATGAACAAATTTTTTTTGCATAATTCTTGCAAAAAATTCGGCCATAATTTTGATCCAAAATTTGTCATTAGATGATGAAAAATGTTAGTTAGAAATCAAACAGTTTTGGAAACTTGATGACAAGAGAAACTAAAATAAAATTAGAAACCAACAAGGATTTCTTAACAAATATCATATGCTAAGGAGTAAAGGTTTCTAATTTTATTTTACTAAGTTTGGCTCTTCTAAACAATTTGGAAACTGTAATTATGTTTTACTGTGAATAAAATATATATTTCTAGATTATTAGAATTACTGAAATTTTCATTGCTCAATTCTAGAAATTGGAAAAAAAAGTTGTGCTGTTGGACAGTCTACTGCAAATTGCTAGGGCAGACTGTCAGTATCTGTCACTAAACCTTTTGCGACAAATAGTCCGTTATTAAAGAATTTTCAAACTTGCTAGAAATTAAAAAAATTATCTCTTTAATTTGATTCAATTAATTTTTTAAACCTCTTGAATTGAAATCTTTTGAGATCAATGTCTTGTGCATATAATGATATATAATTAGAACCAAATAAATTTTATTCTTTCATTTAATAAAGTATTACATGAATGTATGATGGATGATTATGGAATAAAACCAATGTGATTGTGTATGGTTGAATATATGGATGGTTTGAATTATTGGTACTCTTGAAATTGGGCTTGTATGTCCTGCCTTTGTTATGAGTTTCTCTATGTAAATTCTTTTCTCATCTAACTCCTCTTGAATGTAATTCAAAATTTCTTTTAAATATTTGTAACGTACTTTATTTAGCGATAGAGAGATGGTGAGGATACAAATGTATAGATCAGAATTTACAATTATAATGTATAATGGAGATGGAGATGACACCAAATCCTTCATGGAAGGCATGCAAAGACGTACACAATATGAAGATGTTTAGTCCTTTAATTTGGTCATCCAGTTTCCTTTGACTCGAGAAAATTAGATTAGAAAATGTCCATAATCATCTATGTTTTTTATTTATCTATATTGATGAATAAATATGCATGCTATGCTTGAAATGAAGAGACCTTATGCTAACAAATTAAAAGTGAATCTAAAATCCCTCAAATCAAATATTGAATCAAGACTAAAGTTGCCTTTCATTATTATAGTAAAAATAAAATCATGTTCAAGTTATTTTGTTGAATACACTTAAAGGTGCTCTACCATGAGAAGTTTTGACTATCAAATGTGATTTTGGAATAATGGGTGTGATTTAACTAAAATTGGTGACTTGTTAAGTACACTTAAGGCCATAAATTTTTAGAGACAAGCATTGGGTAACACATATGATGTGATTTATCAAAAGTTGATAACTCAATTATCTAGAAGTAGCAAGATTTGTAATTGGTAATAAGTGCCTACATAATTGAAATTATTTTGGTTTATTGAGTACATTTAATATCAAAATAGTTAAATGAGATTTTAACCTAATAGGTATTTTGAATTCCAAAATCCATACTTGAGAATTGTGGATTTGTATTAAAATAGTGAGAGCAAAGCCAAAAATTAATTTTATTTCATTTTTTTGAGTTTTTTTTGTGTAAATAGCAATTCCTATTCTATCTTTACTTTATTGTAGAATGATTACTACTTTGACTTTATGCGCTATGCTTGATATTTACAAATTAATTGATCCCATTTTTGTTGGACTGGCAACGCAACTTGTGAATTGTTCTCAAGCATGAGCTAATTGCTCATGCTCTTGATGCGCTCCTTCCCCATTTGAATCTACCACCACCTGTTGTCCTAGTTGATGAAGTTGAACGGTTCAACAAATATCATATGGACAATGATACAGTTGCTTGCATAATGCTAGCATCCATGTCTTTTAAACTGTAAAAGCAATATGAACACATAAATACTTTTGACATGATGGTCCACGTACAAGAGTTGTCTGGTACATGGTCTAAGTATGAGAGATATGAAGTCTTTAAATAATTGTTCAGGTGCAGGATGACTGAAGGCACATCATTGATTGTACATGTGACGACCCCACTTCCCCCTAAGGCGAACCAGAGGGTTGGCGGGCCGTCCGCCCAACTCTCGCCAGGACTCACGCAAGCATTCTAACCCAAAACCTTCCGACGATTAACCTAAACTATTACAAAAATAATTCTTCCGAAATAAATCGATTTCTATCACCACATTAACTTCAAAGATAACAGCATACAAACTTAACCAAACGACAGCTCTTAAACACTTCACGCGTTACCCACAAGGGTTAAAGCCAGATCACACCAATACAAACATACATACCGAATATCAGAATTAGGGATTACACTTTTCCAGCTTCAAGTGGCAATCCAAGATGAAAGGTACAAAGCTTAACTTAGGATTCATTACAAACCGAAATTTAAATTCAAATTGTTCAAGTACATTCATAAGAAATATAAGCAGCTCAAATTCTTTCAAACTTCAAGACCTGTAAGGAAAACAAATGAACGTGGGGTGAGCTAAAGCTCAGTGGTGCCCCAAAACATGCAATCACATAAGGCCAGTAACGAATATTTCAATTTCACACTTAATAAAAGCAGCTAACAGCACAAGGTAGGATACAGGGGCTCTCAGGAGCCATTTTCCTCGCTTGATCACCATTCGTCGTAGTTGACCCTCCGTCAACTCTCACTACTTATAGTCCCTGTAGATCCACTCATTTTAATCCTAACCCGTCACCACTCTTACCCCTGTCCCGGGCCCGAACACCGACTAAGGAAGCAGTATGCTCGAGACATACCCTTAGAAAATTGGTCGAGGGATTCACCCAACGACGTTATTGCAGTTAGATTCATGCGTCGAGGGATTCACCCAACGACGTTACTGCAGTTGGATTCCAGAGTGACTGTAGTTGGATTCAGGAGTCGAGAGATTCACCCAACGACGCAACTACGTTTAGATTTATAAAAAAAAAAAGATTCACGCAAGTCACCACTCGAAAGGCTAGTGCGATAAAGTACACACTGCTCACTTCGATGGATCAGAAATCACTTTTACAAGTACCACATTTCCAAGTCAAGAAAGCACTTTAAATCACGTAGGAATAGAACAAGCAGGGACACTCACCAAGAGTGAAGTTACTGATCAAGCTGGGAATCAAATTCTGCGTCCTCGCTAAACCCTAAAATACCAAATTTTAAAACTATAAGTTTTCTATTCAATTTTTTTTTTAAGCTTATTAGTATAAGGAATTATCTAATATATTACTAGTTTATTTTCTCAAGTAATTTCAAAAATCTACTTAGGATGAAACTTGACAAAAGTAGTAAAAATGTTTCTAATAGTTTTTCCTTGAGATACTTTTCCTTTTAAAGAGGTAACTCGTATTATTTTCTTGAAATAATTCGACCATTCACTTAGGATTGGAATTTTGTAAAAGTAGGAAATGTTTTGTATGGCTTCCTTAAAAATATTTTTCTTTATACGAGTGCGGCTGGTACTATTTTATTTAGAATAAATTTTCTTGTCGAGGAAGTTTTCTGCTATTTTTAGTTAAAGTCACTAAAATCTTGTATTTTGGAAATTTTCCTCTAGACAATCAGCCAAGGACAATTTTAAGGAAAGAAAAGGAAATAGATCAAGACTTAGGGTTTTAAAACTAGTGAAATCATTTTCTAAAAGTAATAAGGCTAGTTTACGCTTAAAGGAGGAAATATCGAGTCGGCAAGGTTTAGAAACTCTCTACACGAAACTTCTAACTTTAACACATAATACTAAGTTTTATCGTACCATACTAGAGTGAAGATATATCTAAATAGCTTGCTTAAAACTTCTCAAGTTCACAGGACCAAAACGGATTCCGATTGGCAAGCACGTAATATTTCAGATTGTCAATATAACCAACTCTCATTTCAAATAGAAATCTCACTAGGGTTTCGTCAATCATTAGCCCTAGGTTTTAATAGATTCATTGCTGATCAAGAATTAAACAAAAGTGTGACAGTCCCACCTCACCCTAAGGCGAACCAAAGGGTTCAGCGGACCGCCTGCCCAGCTCTCGCCAGGACTACGGAGTCGAATCACACAAATCCGATGTTACGCGAGATAGGACCCAAAAGAAATGAACGATTGAAGACCGCCAAGCTTAAACATGGGGAAAACGCTTTCATATATACATGTCGCTAGGTTTACAATTCAAATGGAACCAGTGAAACGAAATACATTTAGAGTTTGCTCATTCTCGAGGAGCTACACAAAAGAACAAAAGATTTTCTAACTAGCTCAACTCGCTTCTCAAAATCATGATTTCCAAAAGAGGTTCCTGTAAGGAAAACAAAGATAACGAGGAGGGGGTGAGCTTACGCCCAATGAGGTACCAAACATGTAGCAGAAAAATCAGGTATTTCACGTTATACAAACCAGATACACATGCTCGCTATAACGTAAGACAGGTAAACACAAGAACTCAAATAGGAAGGATACAGGTGGCTCTCAGGAGCCAGCTTTCCAGCGCAGTACTTGATCCAAGCCGGTTGACTCTCCGTCAACGTATATAGAACCAACACGTCCGTAGACCCCACTTTACACCAAATTCCGTCCACCAAACACCCCTTTACCGGGCCCGTTCACCTCAACAGAAACAGAAATGGTAATACTCGAGTATACCGGAATCAAGGGTCTCAATACCCAAAGATCCCAAAACAGACAACCGTGGTTCGTTATCTAATCGTCCAGGCCCTTGCCGGCCCGACTCGAATAACTTAGCCACAGGATTTGAGCTCATAGGTCACAGAAAGGTCGTTGGTTACAAGTTTCCAAACGACGTCCGAACAGATACAGATACAGATACAGATACAGATATCAGATACAGATACAGATTTAGATTGACACCAAGAGAACGAGTGTGATAAAGTACACCCTCGTCTCAAACAAATTAAACAGATTGCAGAGCAGAAATCAAGTTAAACAGCAATGGAGGGGGGTGGTACACTCACCGGCTCAACTTCAAAAGTTTTCACTTCAGATTGGCCTTAATCGCCAAGAAACCCTAAAATAATCAAAATAAACCAATTGAAGGTTTCATATCCAAAATCGAGTAAACGGAATGCACAAGTGAGGCTCGACTACACGTCGTACGCCTTGCCAAATAAAACATGATTTTCTTGGAAACGAAAAGGTAACATGAAGACCTAGGCGCAAACAACCCAAAAGCCCTTCGCTCAAATCACAAGTAAATCCAACTAGCCTTCAAGTAAAATTTCGGCAGCATATCCCTTGTGTTTACCTATTTTCCAGCCATTATGGCTTCATTATTTCCTCAAATCAATCCCAACATCTCACACAAAATTCATCTCATTTCCCAAAAGCCGTTCACTAGGCTCAAAGTAGTACAAGTACAAAAGTTAGCTAGGAAATGACCGGAATGAAAGCAAGCCCTAAAACATGCAAGCAAGTATAATGAGACTCGATAACGAGTAATAACCCAATGCCAAATATGACCCCAATAGGGTTCCATAAGCATACACAAACACTAGAGGAAACCAGAAAATTTCGGAAATGTAAATAGCTTTGGCCCTGAAAAAAACAGTTTTTGTCCTCATTTTGCGGTAATGGCACCAATTTCACTACAATTATCGGATGAGGGTGCAAGACCCACCATTTCGAAGCTAAAGGACAGGGCTACAACATCACAGAAGGTCACTCAACCCAGTTTTGAGTGCAAACAGGTCAAAAATGCAAGAAACTACATCAAAAACGTAAAACAGATTCACCAAAACGCATTCTAGCGGAAACATCATAACTCAGGCTCTCCAAGTCCAAATCCAGAAATTCCAAAACTAGATGAAAGCTAAGAAACAGGGATAAATTTCATCAGAAGGCCTCAACAACCAATTCGGAATCAATTCCAGCCAAAACAACCAATTACAGGCGCAATTCTTACATTCAGGTAAAACCAGAACAGCAATAGTAATTTCGACTTATCTCATTCTACACTACTCCGATTGACCTGAAATTTTGTAGGCACCTCTAAAATGCCATTACCTACAACTTTCATGTTTTAAGCCAAGGCCAATTCGGCCTCTAACTATGTGCTAAAAATTCGGGCAGAATGTTCCTTCACAAAACCTAATTTTCTGAAATTTCTTCCAAAACAGAAATTGATTGCAATTGTCCACTTTTTCCACCTCATAGAGTCCTTAAACATCATTTCCAATCATCATACATGACCCCATAATCATATTCATATGAAAATAGAAAAATCCCCAAAAATTATAAAACTTCACCAATTCAACCAAAATCAAGATATAATCCATAAAAGTGCATCTTATACCACCACTAATCATGATTTAGGCATCAATTAAGGGAGGAGAGGGGTTCATCCACTACTCACCTTAGTAAAACAAGAGGGAGAGCAACTTGTCACCTTAGCTTCCCAAACAACTCCACCAAACAACTCACAAACACTAAGTGAAGAGGTTTTATGGAGTAAAACTAGAATTAAACGGTTAAAAGTGAAGATTAAGCAAGCTTGGAGCAAAGAAATTGGAGAGCTTTTCTTCCCTTATTGCTTGAAGGTGGCCGGCCATATGAAGCTTAGAAATGAAGATATTTTGGTCAATTTTTGAAGTTATTATGGTAAATGGTAAAAGGTTGAATAGTAAGTCAAAACAAGATTTAATCATATGGTGACACATGTCACCTTCATTAAATGTATGCCTAACTTTTGTGTCTCTCTTACAACAATCCACTTGGCAACCTCTAGATATCTCATAACACCTGGTAAATTAATTCCAGTATCCAAAACTTAACCTAGTTGGCCGAATTTTACCGAACTTTCCGCACTAGCGGGTCCCACGTCCAATATACGCTCTTAATTTCTCAAAACCTATTCGATACTA